AAAAAAGTGTGTACTTTTCCCTTCAATTTAAAAAAAAGAAGAAGTTACTGCGATTTTTTTTTGCCAAGTTACAGCTTTTTGAAGTAACCCTTGTATTTTCGTTCATTACCGTCGACATCAGCGTAACCCAGTGTGCACGTGGAGGTTTGCCGTTCGGATTTTGCACATCGTGTGGTCCTACAAGTCACTCAGCCTTCTTCCCATCATATCCCAGTATTTTCGATATGAATACACCACTGGCCCTCTTCAGGGCGCGCGTCGCGCTGGTGCTATCTATCGGGTGGGCGATCATTCGTGCCTCTCGAATAGTGACGTCCGGCGAAAAATAATTCGTCGGACGTAACACACATTTAATCTCGGATTTAGCGACACGCTATAATCTCCGCAGATTCTAATTTCGTTATTCTTTTTGAGAACTGGTACAATCGGCGTTGCCCAATCAGAATAATCTACTTTTTCGAAATTCCCTGCTGAACTAATTTCTCTAGCTCATTCTCTACTTTCTCGCGTAATCGAAATACTGTTCTAGCTTTTAAGAAAACTGGGTTGACATTCGGTTTTAAATTCAATCGTGCTTGAATTTTAGAAATTTTATCTACCGACGGAATCGTGATATTAGGAAAATCTTTTAATAATGAACGTACTTTAGAATTATTACATTCCGTGATTTGTTTAACTGCACGGATATCACCTATTTTATTTTGCAACTCACGAACTTGGTTTAATTGCGAGATCCATTCTCGACCAACTACGGCCTCTCGATCTCCATCAACAACGTACAAATGTAATTTACGCACACACTTACTGTTCCGTACTTTAACTATCAAAAATCCTACCAACGGAATTGGTATTTTAGTGTAAGAAACTAAATTCAGATCTGTTTTGTAACATGTTTCTCCCTTAAATAATTGTTTCGCTACTGACATAGAAATTAACGTTACGGCTGAACCACTATCGATTTCAAATCGAATATCATTACCGTTAACATTGAGCGTTGTAAAAATTTTTTCCCGAAATTCCGCTTGATCTATTGCGAAGACTTCAGCGACCTCGAAATTGTTTGCTTTCGCTTTGCAAACCTTTTTAAGATGCCCTGCCTTACCACACGAAAGGCATTTTATACTTTTATCGAGCGTACATTCCGACGCGTAATGCTCTTTTCCGCAACGGAAACACGTAACATTTTTATTGCGCGCGGTCTTTTTCGAAACACTACTCGCGTTCGCGTTCGAAATTTTCTTCTTCGACTTATCTTTATTTGTCGTCTTCTTCTTCTGTCCTGCGCTGACCAATGCCGTTGCCTCCTCGCCTTGGATCCGCTTGGTATCCTTTTCCGAAAGCTCCATCATGGTGGCAATTTCAATAGCGTTGTCCAGGGTAGGGTCCCCCGCTTCTAGCAATCGGTTGAGTGTCCTCTTGTTCCTCAGACCGAAAACGAAATAATTCCGCAGCGTTGTCTGGGAATGCTCGCATAGTTTGCACTTAATTGCAAGCTTCTTCAAAGCTGATGCGAATTCTTGTATGGATTCGCCTTCATTCTGCTTTCTTGTAGCGAGTTTGTAATTTTCCGCTAGTACTGACGGTTTCGGCTCGAAATATTTCTGAAGCGTCTCAGTTAGCTTCTCGTACGTTTCTGTACTAGGTTTAGTCGGTGCTATTTCATTCTTGAGCACACTATATGCACTAGGCCCAAGGTGATGTAGCAAATAAGCCACCTTGTTTGCCGCCGAAATATTGAATATTTGCACGGCTGCCTCAAAACGTTCCTGCCACTCGGACCATGGCCCATTGTCCGGTGTGAACGCTTCCATACTCGAACTCCCCGTTATTGCGCTTGCCATTTTGCTTGACTCTTGCACAACAACTTTTTTTTCCATGAAAATTCACAACTTGTTGCATTGCACGCAACAATGTTCATTATCGAATATGGCTGCCGCACGTGCTTGCAAGTTCGTGCGCACAACACTTCCCACGACACAAAATAATCCTCGTCGCCAACTGCTGTGTATGTAGGTAGCCAATGTAGGCTCGTGGGTATGGAAGAGACGTGGGAATCGTCTTTAGGAAGAAATGAGGCACAGGTATAGCTTAACACCATAACAACTATATCTATATTGCTGAGCCGTTACATACGTCTGGATTGTACGGTGGTCCAGAACGTTCTCTGTCGAGTCGGGGAGAAGCCGGTAGCATCTTCCCGTAACGGTACGGTCACGTGGCTCTGCGCGCATGCAGTGCCACCGCGTTGAGCCAATCGTAGGGCTCCGCTAATCACAGACTGCTCGGACAGTCTGCGCCACGGTCTTACATACAGGTCTGGAAACTCAGGCAAATTTTGGTGGTGGGGGTGTGCCAAAATTTAAGCCATTTTTAGTGCACAATCTTGTCACTAGCAGCGTGTCGCTGTTATCGCAAAGTGTTGTAAAAGTGGAAACATAACCATTAAACTCAACGTTAGTGCATGGCTCGGTATACATTCCAACGAATTGTCTTGGATAGTCCATAATGACGAATTCTTGCATAGTCCCGAACTATCTAAAAGCATGTATAAATCTGTAAAATTATATCTGCCCGAACGCAGTCAAGGTTAGAGTCTTGCACTGACCGATAGCAACGACACACAGGGCGAACTAATTTTGGCTTAAAACTGAGCACTACCCCCACTACTCGAGTTTCCAGACCTGTATGTAAGACCGTGGTCTGCGCGCTCGCAGCTGTAATGGCGCGTTTACATGAACGCCGCCCAACACCTGTAGTTGCATGAGGAGTCGTTCTGTATTGTAAAAGTATTCTAGGTAAACAATTATGTACATTCGCTGAATTACAACGCATTCTTTTTAAAGAATTTTTAAGTATTTGTACATATCGCTCTGCTTGGCCATTTGTTGCTGGATGGTAGGGTGCTGTTAATTTCTGAGTGATCTCGTTAACTTGTAAGAAATTTCTAAATTCTTTAGATGTAAATGTTCTTCCGTTATCCGAAACGAAATATTTTGGTAAACCATGTGTCGCAAAAATTTGACGACATAAATCTATTGTCGTACGTGACATCATATCTTTCACTATGTGGATTTCCGGCCATTTGGAAAATGCATCTACCAAAATGAAAAAGTAATGACCTAGAAAAGGTCCCGCAAAGTCAGCGTGAACACGCTCAAATGCCACAGCACACGGTTCCCAAATATGTGAATTATTTTTAGGAGGGTCGTTCCTAAAAGCATTGCAATCATTGCAATTTGCAACCAAGTTTTCGATATCTCTATCAATTTGGTACCACCAGATATACCCTCTAGCTAAATGTTTCATCCGGACTACACCGAAATGACCAGTATGTAACTCTTGTAAAATTTTTTTCTGTAAAATACGGGGAATAACTACCCTATGTCCTCGAAAAATGACGTTATTCTGTAAAGTAAATTCATGTAAATTAACTGTATAAAAAGTTTTCTCTTTTTCTGTATTCTTACCCGATTTAAGAATTTGTAATAATTTAGACAACTCTTTGTCTGTCGCCGTAGCTGTAGCTACTTCCCGTGCCGTTATTGGTAATGTGTCAAACGTACTTAATTGAAAAACATCTACCGGGTCTTGTACATCTGCATTACGTGGAATAGGTAACCGTGATAAACAATCTGCATTCGAATGAAGTTCTGACTTCCTGTACTTAATATCATAATTAAAACCCTGTAAAAATAACGAGTAGTGTTGCATTCGTAATGCCGTGTAGATAGGCAAACTCTTTGTTGGAGAAAAAATTTGTGTAAGTGGACGATGGTCTGTAATTAATGTGAATTTAGAGCCTTGCAAATACTGGTGAAATTTCTTAACACCGTAGATGATCGCGTAAGCTTCCTTGTCAATCTGAGAATAATTTCTTTGAGTGGAAGATAAAGTTTGCGAAGCATATTGTATGGCTCTTTCAGAACCATCGGGATAGATGTGCGAAAGCACCGCTCCTACCCCATACGAACTCGCGTCCGTAGCAAGCGTAACTGGTAAACGCGGATCGAAATGAACTAAACATTTTGGACTAATAAAAGCCTTCTTCGCGTCCCTGAAACTCTTCTCACATTGAGATGTCCACTGAAATTCCGTATCTTTACGCAACAATTTATTTAACGGGTGTAAAATCGAACTTAGATTTGAAATAAATCTACCGTAATAATTAATCATCCCGAGAAAACTGCGTACCTCCGTAACGTTGGTAGGTCGCTTCATATTATGGATCGCTTCCATCTTTTCAGGAGATTTATGTAACCCGTCTTTATCTATCACGTACCCGCAATACTGGATTTGCGACATGAAGAATTCGCTTTTCTCCATATTAACTCGAATGTTGAACTTCTGTAATCGGCCAAAAACTAAACGCAATTTATTTAAATGATCTTGCCGATCTGTTCCTGCTACTCGAATGTCATCTAGAAAGACCACTACACCGGGGATGTCTTTCAGAATATTTTCAATGGTGCGCTGCCATATTGCAGGCGCTGACGCGACACCATACATTAAACGCGTAGCTCTGTACAAGCCTTTATGAGTACTCAAAGTCAAAAAGGTTTGGTCCTCCGGTCGGACTTCTAATTGCAAATAAGCCTGTAGTAAATCGATCTTTGAGAAAATGGTACCGCCTGCCATCGAAGCGAATAATTCATCTGCTGTTGGTAGCGGATGCTCATCCACGAGTAAACGTGGATTAATGGTGACACTGAAATCACCACACAGGCGTACCTGACCGTTCTTTTTTAAAACCGGAACAATGGGGGTTGCCCATTGTTCGGTGAGGAACGAACGAAGGGGAATTGGGGGGGCGAGGTTGCGTTAGGAAGGCTAAATAAAAGTAGTTGTAATTAAAAGAATATAATAAGGTTTTTATTCATTACTATTATTATTATTATTGTACTCTACTGAATTATTGTGATGATTGTATTATACTAAATTATTACTATTGTAATTGTTACAAGATAAAGTTTCCAGACGCTGATGCGTCTGCGTCATACGAACTCAAACAATGACTAGAAACCGAGGAGTCGTAAATTCCTCAGTATAAAGGGCAGATAAGAAAACAAAGGAAAGAAGAAGGGGGGGGATTGTAAGTCCCGCATCCCCTTCATTGCGTGAACCTTGAACCGATCATCAAGATAACGCAACTACGGCAACACCGCTGAAGCCTCGAATTGACTGCATGCGCAATTAGCGCCGAGCCGTGCCTAGGCCGATCACTAGGTAGTTTGTTGGTGCTAGGCACCGCCCGAGGCCCGTCGTCGGACTGAGTGGAAAAGGCACGATCTGCCGAGGGCAGTCGTGGGGCTACCCAGAGCTCGTCGTCAGGTTAGCCCGTCCGAGCCAATGTCATCGGACCCCGTCAAGCGAGTAGAGAGCTCGCGTTTCGCCGTTAAGTAGGCGACAATAGCCGCTAACTGGGAAGGCGCACCAAGAGGGAAGACCGCTTCTCCCCGTAATGGCGGCCAGCCGGAGAGGCGCAATAAGCGTTGGAAGGCCGCTCCTTCCTTACCTGCGCTAATGCCTGAGAATCGCAGCGGTAGGTCAATCCCGCAATTGTCCCGGAACGCTTCCTTTCCGTCGATGGCCCTTGCAGGAACAATGCCCGTGGGCTAGCCTTCCGTCCGTGGGTGTCTACGTGCCAGCGCCCGTACTCGAAGGGACCGCGTCCGTGGATGGTCTGCCGTCTGTGGGTTCCGAAGTGCCAGCTCCCGTTCTCGAAGTGACCGCGTCCGTGGACTAGCGCGAAGTGACCGTCTCCGGCTGGCTCGCCCGCAGTGGCCGGGCCCGATGACTCGCTTTCCAGATAAGCTTTAGACAAAGGGCCCGGATCTCCTTAGCAACGGTCGCCGAAGCGATCCGAAGCGAGAAGAAGAATCCAGAAGGAAAAAGGGCATGCGCACCCGATAACGACGGCCGGCCCGTTAAGAAAAAAAAGGGGGGAAGGGAGTCGAGTCGCCCCGACGCCTACTGCATCTACCCGATCGGGTGACGCATGTGTCAGGCGCTTAATGTTGACTCGCTCAGCGTCGTCGATAACCGAACATTCCGCCCGCCTTCGGGGACTATGTTCCCGAATGTTGTTGGCTCCGAATCTACAGGCAGAATGCAAATTTTCGTTATAGGTCGTTTGAAAGTGGCAGTGGCTGTTCGTACGGTGACGACCCTGGTTAAGCCGTCCTGGCCAGGGTGCAACTGTTGGACCAATGCAAGTGGCCATTTGCCTGGAGGGTAACGCTCGTCCGTAAGGAGGACTAAGGACCCTTCCCGGATCTCTGTAGACGGATGATGCCATTTTGAGATCGCCTGGTAGCGTTGAAGACACTCGGCTTGCCATCTGTGCCAGAAGTGTTCAACCTTTTGCCGGAGGAGTTGCCACCTTGTGAGACGCGAAATGGGCTGATCGCTGAGATTTGGCTCGGGGATCACGATTGGAGCTTCGCCTATAAGAAAATGACCCGGGGTCAAGGCAGCGCAGTCGTCGACGTCCTCAGACATAGGACACAATGGCCTGGAGTTAAGGATGGCCTCTATCTGACACGTTAGGGTTGTCAGCCCTTCGTATGTCAGCACTGAGTCTCCGATGACTCGGCGCAGGTGAAATTTAGTCGTCTTGACCGCGGCTTCCCATTTGCCTCCGAAATGAGGCGCGGCGGGTGGGATGAAACGCCAGTTAGTCCCGAGATTCGTGAGTATTCCTGCCAACTCCTTGAGCTCTTTAGAGGCCGCGTCGAAGCGTCGTCTCAATTCGCGATCTGCTCCTACCAGGTTGGAGCCACAATCGCTGTGTAATGTGGCACAGGCCCCGCGAAGAGCGGTAAAACGCTTAAATGCGGCGATAAAGGCTTCCGTGGTGTAATCTGTTACCACTTCGATGTGGACAGCGGAGGTGGAGAAGCACACGAAGATCGCCAGGTATCCTTTGTATACTTTGGCCGCCCGCCCTCGCCAAGTTTTTATACTTATGGGTCCAGCATAATCAACTCCTGAAACCAGAAATGGACGGGAAGGAGTGACTCTTGATTTTGGGAGCTGACCCATCAGCTGCCGAGCTCGATTTTGTCGGTATCGAGCACATGTGACGCATTTTAAAATAAAGGATCGGACTGGGGTTCGTCCCCCGATGATCCAATACTTTTGGCGAACGTAAGCCAGCGTCACTTGAGTTCCGCCGTGTAAAGTCCTCTTATGAGCATCCGAGATGATTAGAGAGGTGAGCGGAGATTGGCGAGGCAGTATGATCGGGTGTTTCACGTCGGCTGGTAATTGTGAGTTTTGAAGTCGCCCGCCCACTCTCATGAGTCCGGATTCATCCAGGAATGGAGTAAGTCTCAAGAAGGGGCTTGATTTTGATAAGCGTCCTCCCTTCGCTATGACTCTCCGTTCGTGTTGGAAATAATACTGCTGAACGTGGAGGGCCCAGAATAGAGAACTCTCGTGCAGTTCAGCCGGAGTAAGATGCTCTGAGGTCGATTGTGCTGGAAGTTGCCTGAAACGCCTAACGGCGCGCTTGCAAGTTGCAGTCACTCGTAATAGCGTTGTGAGCGATGAGTATTTCGTTAGGAGATCCCAGGGAGGCTCTTGATCATCGCGACGAGAGGTTAGAGCGTGATTCGGCTTCTCCTCCATGTCGACGTTAGATGATTTCCTCTCATTCCATTTCGGCCATTCGGTAGGTGTTTGGCTTAACCACGGTGGCCCGCGCCACCACAGTGAATGGTCTTCGATCTCCTGCGCGCTTAGTCCTCTTGTTGCGCAATCTGCTGGATTTTCCTTCCCTGGCACGAAGCGCCAGGTGGCGGTGGGTAGCAGTTCTTGGACGGCTGTCACTCGATTGCGAACGTAATCCTTCCACTTTGCCGGGTGGGAGGAGACCCAGGTAAGAGCGACCGACGAATCCGCCCAGAGAACAATCGGATATTCTCCGAGATTGAGGACGTTTTGCACCTTTACGCTCAGTCGCGCAAGCATTAGCGCCGCGCTCAACTCAAGTCGGGGTATAGTGAGTTTCTTTAGAGGCGCCACTTTTGTTTTGGCCGCGATGATGTTAACTTGGATTCCGCGATCCTGCGTTTCGACTCTAGTATAAATTACCGCCGCCATGGCAAGCTGGGAGGCATCGGAGAATCCGTGGAGCTCCACGGAGCGTGCGGTTGAAGAAAGCGAAAGCCATCGCGGAATGCTAACATTGTTTAACGCGGGTAGTTGTTCTTTGAAAGTGATCCATCTATTTTGCAATTCGATTGGCAAAGGGGTGTCCCACCCTACTTTAATCAACCAGAGATTTTGAATGAATATCTTCGCTCGAATCACAACCGGAGCGATAAGGCCCAAGGGGTCATAGAGCTGCGCTATTTCGGAGAGAACGGATCGTTTCGTAATAATTCGAGCGGACGATAAAACTGGCTTAAATTTGAATACGTCTGATGGCGGGTGCCAACACAAACCTAGGACTTTAATCCGAGAGGAGTCCAACTCCACAGTATTCGCGTTGTTATTGGACGGCAATGATAAGTGACTCAACAACTCTGGCGAATTGCTGTTCCACTTCTGTAAAGGAAAGCCGCCCGCCATGCAGAGCTGGGACTAGTTGGGAATAGTTGAGACATTATTGCTTTCGCTTCATCTAGTGATTCGGCTCCGCCAAAAATGTCGTCAACGTATCTCCCCTTGGTTATCGATGGTATGGCTTTCGGTAACCGATGACCCTCGTCTGAGATAAGTTGTTGAAGTACACGAAGAGCCAGAAAGGGGGCACAATTCAACCCGTAAGTCACAGTGGTTAATTGATATGGCCGTAATTGCTCATTTGAGTCGTACCAGAAGATGCGTTGCAGATTTCGATCACTTGGGTGAACCAGTATCTGTCGATACATTTTCGTTATGTCGGATGAAAAAACGACTTTATGTGACCGAAACCATAGCAATACATCAAGGATGTCTGTCTGTAATTTGACTCCCGCGTGCAAAATGTCGTTGAGGGACACTCCACTCGTTGACGAACTCGACCCGTTAAATACGACGCGTAGTTTCGTTGTTTGACTACTATCGCGTAGGACACCGTGATGAGGCAGATAAAAGACGGGAGAGTTGTTGATCTCAGATTCTGGTACCGGTACCATATGGCCTAGCGATTGATACTCTAGCAGAAAGTCTGTATATAGCTTGCGTAAGGATGGTTCCCTTTCAAATCGTTTACGAAGTCGCGCCAAACATCGGAGAGCGATTTGAGATGAATCGCCTAATAAGGTAGCCGGGGATTTCAACGGAAGACGAACTATATATCGACCGTTCGGATCTCGCGAAACGGTGGAACTAAACTGATCCTCGCAATCAGCATCAGCAGGGCTCATTGATTTCGCGGTCTTCGGTATCTCTTCCTGTCTCCAAAAACGGGTTAAAAGATCTTGTAAGTCGTGATCAATGTGACAATGATAAGTACCGCTTTCGCGATCACACGCCGCAGGTGTAGCGGGTCCGGACACCGCCCATCCGAACAAAGTTAATTGTGCAATCGGTGACGCCGAGTCACCTTTTATTATTTCAGGCTTAATGATCTGACCGTAACAATCCGCGCCAATAATGATATTAATCGGACCGGGTTTATTAAAATTCGGATCGGCTAGTGGTAAGTTTTGAAGATGGCTCCAAGAATCGTTGGTTACTTCAAATGATGGAATTTGAAAAGTTAACCGTGGCAGAATGTATGCCTGTAATGTGCAAGATTTGGAGATATCCGATGCCGAATAAAGCTCGAGATACACGAGGCCCTTAGTGCGTCCCGCGCCAGTTCCGCCTATACCGAGTAGAGGAATCATAACGGATTTTCGAGGTAAGCTCAACCAACGCACCAACTCCTCTGTAACAAAGGATAATTCAGATCCCGGATCTAAGAGTGCGCGGACAGAATTGAATTTACCATCGCGGGATTTTAGTTTAACTTGACACGTTGCGAGCAGTGTTAACGGTCGATGCCCGATGGCACATTCTGTATGATTCGCGCACGATGCCTCTAGTCACTTCTGCTCTGAGGTAGGCACAAGCGGGGGCGACTTATTAACGGTCGGAGCATCTGGATCGGCTTTAGTAACGGTTTTCGATGGTGGCCTTCGGTCATCATGCAAGGTAGTATGATGCTTGCTCCCACATTTTCTACAGCGATGCGAACTTGGACAACGACCAACTCCATGACCCCCTAAGCAATTGAAGCAAAGGTTGAATTTAAGAACGGTGCGTTTACGACGCTCAGGCGCGTATGACAAATAAGTTGAGCAATTGGACAAGTAGTGAGCGGCTTTGCACAACCGACACTCCACGCTACCTTTAGCTGTTGAGGCCGTCGCGACTAAACTGCGAGATCTTACATCTGCCTTACCCGATAACCAAGATGATCGTTTCTTATCTTTAGTGGGCTTGCCCGGTTCAGAAGAACGCTTCTCCCACGCTTGCGTGCGGCTATTCACAAACTCCTCAAATGCTTTTAGAGTAGGGGAAGCAGTAGACGATCCCAAGTGGATGTTCCAGTCTTCGCGTGTGTCTTCGTCTAGCAATCGAGCCAACATCCGTACCAAGAATGCATCCCACTCCTTCACGGGGCAGTCCAACGCCTCGAGAGCGCCTAATGCGTGGGTGACAGTAATCATCATGTCATTCAAGTTCTGCGCGGATTTCGACTTGATGGGCTTCAAATCGAGGAGGCTATCCACTTGGGCAGCGATCAGTATCCATTTGTTGTCATACCGCGATTCCAAAGTTTTCCATGCAAGGTTGAAAGTGGCGTTAGTGACTTTAAGGTTAGCGACGCGTCGAGCTGCGTCCCCAGCAAGACACGTTTTTAAATACTGCATTTTCTCAACGTTTGTTAGCTCGGGATTTTCTCCCACCATCGACTGAAACAGGTCACTAAAGTCCCTCCATGCATGAAACTCTCCGGAAAATGTCGGCAAGCTTCTCGATCATCCGTGTACCAGATCGCCCCTCAGACGATGAAGGGCCACACGATCGCGCAGAGGAATTGGATGCTTCCACCGAGTCTTGTTGGTCAAGCAATATGGACCTTGCTTGTACATAAAATTCCTGACATCTCTCGTATGTCCGGGACCTTATATACGACTCGTCAGTAAGGCGTCCCGCGTGTACTCGACAGAGCCTCTCGTGCTCCTCTTGGAACTTGTTCCAGTTGGATTCCAGAACGTCCAGTCTTGTCGACACCAAGTTGCGAGAGATGGTGGCAGAAAGGTGTTCCTCTGCGTCTTCCACGGCATTCTGGATCATGAGAAATCGATTCATTTGCAACGAGATTTGAGCGGGCAATTCATCCATGTTGCTGTCCACGCTCCGCTCTTCCATTTATTGAATCGTTATAAGCAAACAATCTGCGAAGAAAGTAGTAATAAATAACTCGCCTTTTTCTAACAGTGCCGGCAGGCACTCGCTGACGCATCAGGTCATTCGATTACTATTTCGAAATTACACTTCCGAGTGCACCCAACGCCGTATCCGGCTCGAAGGACCAAAAATAATGTTCGGTGAGGAACGAACGAAGGGGAATTGGGGGGGCGAGGTTGCGCTAGGAAGGCTAAATAAAAGTAGTTGTAATTAAAAGAATATAATAAGGTTTTTATTCATTACTATTATTATTATTATTGTACTCTACTGAATTATTGTGATGATTGTATTATACTAAATTATTACTATTGTAATTGTTACAAGATAAAGTTTCCAGACGCTGATGCGTCTGCGTTATACGAACTCAAACAATGACTAGAAACCGAGGAGTCGTAAATTCCTCAGTATAAAGGGCAGATAAGAAAACAAAGGAAAGAAGAAGGGGGGGGATTGTAAGTCCCGCATCCCCTTCATTGCGTGAACCTTGAACCGATCATCAAGATAACGCAACTACGGCAACACCGCTGAAGCCTCGAATTGACTGCATGCGCAATTAGCGCCGAGCCGTGCCTAGGCCGATCACTAGGTGGTTTGTTGGTGCTAGGCACCGCCCGAGGCCCGTCGTCGGACTGAGTGGAAAAGGCACGATCTGCCGAGGGCAGTCGTGGGGCTACCCAGAGCTCGTCGTCAGGTAGCCCGTCCGAGCCAATGTCATCGGACCCCGTCAAGCGAGTAGAGAGCTCGCGTTTCGCCGTTAAGTAGGCGACAATAGCCGTTAACTGGGAAGGCGCACCAAGAGGGAAGACCGCTTCTCCCCGTAATGGCGGCCAGCCGGAGAGGCGCAATAAGCGTTGGAAGGCCGCTCCTTCCTTACCTGCGCTAATGCCTGAGAATCGCAGCGGTAGGTCAATCCCGCAATTGTCCCGGAACGCTTCCTTTCCGTCGATGGCCCTTGCAGGAACAATGCCCGTGGGCTAGCCTCCCGTCCGTGGGTGTCTACGTGCCAGCGCCCGTACTCGAAGGGACCGCGTCCGTGGATGGTCTGCCGTCTGTGGGTTCCGAAGTGCCAGCTCCCGTTCTCGAAGTGACCGCGTCCGTGGACTAGCGCGAAGTGACCGTCTCCGGCTGGCTCGCCCGCAGTGGCCGGGCCCGATGACTCGCTTTCCAGATAAGCTTAGACAAAGGGCCCGGATCTCCTTAGCAACGGTCGCCGAAGCGATCCGAAGCGAGAAGAAGAATCCAGAAGGAAAAAGGGCATGCGCACCCGATAATGACGGCCGGCCCGTTAAGAAAAAAAAGGGGGGAAGGGAGTCGAGTCGCCCCGACGCCTACTGCATCTACCCGATCGGGTGACGCATGTGTCAGGCGCTTAATGTTGACTCGCTCAGCGTCGTCGATAACCGAACACCCATTCTGACGAATCAACTTTTTCTAAAATGCCCTCTGATTCTAAGCGATCTAATTCCTGCTCAACTAATGCGCGTAGGCGAAAGGGAATTTGCCGTGCTTTCACGAACACTGGTTTTGCGTTATCTTTCAATGTAAGTCTAGCTTGAATATTACTGATTTTCGAAATGATCGGATTTGTAATGCCAGGAAACTCTCGAAAGAAACTTTGCAACGACGGGTCTTCAATTACGTGAATTGATTGTAAACGTCCTAACAATTGATGCATGTCTCCATGATCTTTCAATTGTAGGATCCACTCTCTACCGAGCAGTGGTTCGCGATCTCCCGTCGTAACGTACAAATTCAATTCGCGAGTCTTCCCCCTGCATCTCACCCGTACAACCAAATATCCAAGCAGATCGATAGGTTTCTTACAATACGAAATTAAATGTAATACGGTTTTGTGTAGTTTTTCCCTTGGAAACAACCTCTTCGCAAGAGACTGTGAAATCGAAGAAACTGCCGCGCCGCTATCTATTTCAAAACGCACGCGCTTTTCGTTAACGATTAACGACGTAAGTAACTTGTCCCGATACTGTACGTGCTCGACTGCTAACACGTCAACACCGTTCGAACTCTGTTTATCCGAACGACACACCTTTCGAAGGTGACCAGTCTTCCCGCATGAAAAACACTTAACCGACCTATCTAAAGTACAACGCGACGCAAGGTGGTTCTTGCCGCAACGATAACATGTGATATTTGACGAATTATTTACACGCGACTTTACATTTTTCTTAGACTTAGCTTTAGCTCGCCCGCTGCCGTCGCTGCCTCCCCGCTTCTGGGTCGTCTGCACCTGGGCCACACCTACTTCTCCCTGCAAATCCTTGGTCCCCCTCTCGGAAAGCTCGATCGTAGCTGCTGTCTGGACGGCCGTGTCCAGCGATAGATCCGTCATTTCCAGGAGTCGTCCTTAGGCCCTTCTATTTCTCAGGCCACACACGAAGACCTTCCGAATGGCAGTTTTGATGAAAGTGCCGAAGTTGCACTTAAGAGCGATCCTCTGTAAGGCTGCGGAATATTCCTGCGCAGTCTCTCCCTCCTCTTGTTTACGCTGATGTAGCTTGTATACCTCAGCGATTTCGAGGGTAACGGGGTCGTAGAATTGCTTGAGGATTCTTGCAAGTTCATCGTAGCCAGTATCATGTGGGTTTTGCGGACTGAGTCGATCAGATAGCATGTTGAAAGCCACTGCCCCCACATAATGTAGTAGATACGGCACCCGAGCCTCCTCGGTGATGCTGAAGATCTTGAACGCGCCTTCCAGGCGCATAAGCCATCGAGAAAATAGTCCCAACGCTGCATCGAAGGGCTCGATCGTGAATGTTGTAATTGGTGTTTCTGCCATGGTTCCGCTCTCTCAATTTCACGATAAGGCACTCGCGAAATTTCCTGGTGTTACCACACCGGAGATTATCTTTGAAAGTACACGTGCATAGCACGTGGCCGGCACACTGGAACGTAATGGCGTGGCTATTGGCATACCATGCCGCAAGGTTCACAGTAATGTTGCACCGCGGACTCGTAACCGTCCTCGTCGCCAACTTCTCTGTTGTGTCCGCGTATCTTGGCTGTCCCGTGGGCAGCCCTGGGCAAGGAAAGGAAGGCACACACAGACTTGTAATAAGCGCACTACCTTTATTTGGTATCCCACACGGGAACCGTACTCGTGGCCGGCCGTACAGAGAGAGAGCGCCTCTTCGAGGCGCAACGCCTGTATACCTACGCACGCGCACGCATGCGCCGTCACTACTTCTTCAGTGCGCATCCCGCAGGATGCGCGCGAAGTATAAACGCGCTCACACAACAAGACCAATTGTGCACGCCGCCTCCTCGTTCAACGATGCAGAGAGGAACTATCCGCAGGTGGAGCGTGAAACGCTGGCGTTGGTGTATGCGGTCAAGAAATTCCATGTGTATATCTACGGGCCATGAAAAATAGAGATAAGGAGGCTCAACTAATGCTTTCGAGAATGAGACCAAAACCCGGTTTCCGTGGTAGTTCAAAATATGTACACCGGCGGCGCTACGGTAGACAAACTATTGCTAAACAGAAGTCGGGAGGGGATAAATCATGAAGAATATCTCTATTCTTCATGGTACACTAATATATACACTCACACCGGGTCTACTAATACACACACATACTGTGTACGTGAGAACGCTGTCGTGGAACGGAAGCGACATCTCGATTAGGATTTAGTACTAGCAGCGATGACAATTTTTGGGCTCAGAATCTGACGCATCCGCCCATATAAGTTGACCCTCCTTATCTCTATTCTTCATGCTACGGGCGTAGGTTCGAGCTACATACGGATTACAAACCGCTCTTAAAGATCTTCGGCGGCAAGACAGGAATACCAGCACACACAGCGAATCGCCTTCGAAGGTATGCGCTCACGCTGCTCGGATATGACTTCTCAATCCACTATATGTTGATGGAGCAAGTTTCGCGTATGCCGATTTCGTATCACGACTGATTGAATCTCACGCAAAGCCGGGTACGGAGGATGTGGTGATTGCATCAATTCGAAAAGAGACGTCGGAGAGTGGGGCAGACGACGACAACACCGAGGATAGCGTGGCGATAGAGACACTTAAGACACTGCCAGTGTCAATGAGCGAGCTCAGGCAAGCTACTATATAGGAACAGCCCTCACTTGCAGAAGGTCATCGGTTACGTGTCAACATCATGGCCACGAATGAAGAAGCAAATCGGAGACTCGGAGGCGGCCGAATTCTTTACTCACCGTCTAGACTTGCAGGTGGTGGGTGATTGTTTGTACCACGGAGATCGACCTGTCATCCCACCCAAGCTGCGCCGGAAGCTGTTGGAAGAGCTTCACGATGGACATCCGGGGGCGTCTCGCATGCAAGCACTCGCACGAATACAATGTTTCTGGCCGGGAATCAATCAGCAAATCAATTCATTTGTACAACGATGCGGTAGGTGCGCAATAAATGCTAAGACACCAAGGAAGGAGACGCTACACCCGTGGCCGCAACCGAGTCGCTCATGGGAACGTCTTCACATCGACTTCGCTGGGCCGATGGACGGAGATGTCTTTTTGGTGGTCGTGGATGCGTTCAGCAATTGGCCAGAGATAGTCCGGATGCGCTGCACAACGGCGAACAAGACGGTGGAGGTGCTCGAGGAGATTTTTGCGCGTTGGGGTCCCTGTAAAACAATCGTCTCAGACAATGGCCCACAATTTGTATCAAGTACCTTCAAGGAGTTTTGCAAACGTTACGCGATCGAGCACATTACGTCGGCACCGTACCATCCTCAGTCAAACGGTAGAGCCGAACGTTTTGTTGATATCATGAAGACAGGAATGAAAAAGCTGGAAGGAGAAGGCAACACTGACGAGAAATTGCGTTCGTTCTTGGCGAATTACCGCAGAACTCCATCATACGCGGTGGAAGGCAAATCTCCATTTGAGCTGATGACGGGTAGGAAGATGCCAACAAGACTCGACCATCTTCAAGCAGGAGCGATGAAGAAATGGGAACCGTCAAAGAGGATTGCGAACATGGCGCAGCAGTTTGCTCGTCATCACGGAGCGAAGCATCGAACGTTTGAGCAGAACGAACCAATCTACTATCAGATGTATCAAAACAATGTGTGGACATGGAGGGCTGGAACGATCGTCAGGCAACTCGGAGCGGCCAACTACGAAATCAAGATCGGAGACCGAGTGATTAAAGCGCATACGAATCAACTGAAGCGACGTTTTGTCAACGACACGAACGATCAATCGCCCGACTACCCCAGTTCAGCCATCAGCAACCCCTACGTCCCTCAAGGACCACCAGTAGACGAAACAGGACTCGAGGACGCGACAAGGCAGAGTGACGACTCAGCAGAGGACTCCTTCCATAGTCTCACGAGCCAGTCAGAACAAGAAGACGAGGAAGAACAGCTACCAACTCCCCCACAACCGAGCGAGGGCAGACCTCGGCGAGCGACAAGACCGCCGACATATCTCAAGGATTATATACTCAGCGTGTTGGCGGAGCGGCAGGAGCACGAAAGAGGGACGACGGAAAATTCTTCAGATTTCATACTTTAATCTTAGCGGGGAGGAGTGTAGTAGACGCGATGACGTGAGTTAGCGGTTGATTCCCTTCTATGTATACATGTGTTTTGTGGTTTTGGGCTCGCGGGCCAGTGGACGCTGGGCTGTCGTGACGAACGGGTGGGTTACAAGACCCGAACGGCACCTTATGTACCATTAAGAAATAAAGCATTGATTTAGACAAATAGACAGAGCAGGAGTCTTTTATCACACAAAGTATCAGGAGAACATGATCAGCAAAGAGGTGGCACTATCTAATATTCCAAGAATTGGATTTCCGAGAATTTCCAACTTTAAATCGCGAAAATCGAGAATCGAGAAAATGGCAAAGTATC